AAGAAGAAAAAGGATGAGTTAGTTTCATTCTCTTTTTGCTCGCACTTCGTTGCTTCGTTTGAGATGATGTTACACGGGACGATTCGCAACGATAATTTTAGGCGCAAAACAGCGTTACAATGTTGGAACAGTGTTGCACCATAGGAAAGAAGGTCGCAACAATGTTGCAACGCTGTGTTTCGCTAGAAATTGTCGTTGCGAATCGTCCCGCGCAACATCACCATTAGTTGTTACGTTTGGAATATACACTGTAGTACTTGAAAACATGCCAATGTGATCTCTTGTGAATGCTCGTAGTAGTCCGTTTCGTTCTCTATCTCCATTTTTCTTACAGCTTTGTTTATTTATTTTTTGACCACAGATGTCAAAAGCTTCGTAACGCCAAAGATGCAAAGTGCAGTGATTGTGGTTTGAGGTCCAATCTAGCTTACTGTTTTGAGTGTGGGTGAGTCATGAAAAAGCTAACCTTTCAGTTGCGTGGATGAAAGTGATCGTCAAGATCACTTGGGTAATCCGTATGGAGCTTATTTACTTGTGTCGAGTTTTGATCCTAAAAAGTATGAATGGGTATAAGCCGCCGGTCCAAAACTGATTTAACAAAATTACATTTTCTAGCTAAATAAAAAAATGATGTTCTCAGTCTTGAGTAGGGTGTTGTATTTGGGAGTCACAAAAAAGGCACTGCCCCAACCATACCTCCCCCAAATGCCCCACCCCGGACATTAAATAACTTTCCTGAAGACTACATTTGTACTTTATCTGCTTTTGCGTGAAAAAAGCCGGCTGTTTTTGTTTCGTCGTTTCAGGTTAACTTTATGCGATGGCCGTGGACACCTTATAAATCATCTTTTAGAATATCCCAGTCACACTAAACTCTTCTCATACAAACTACAGCGGCAGGTGAGATAAAAAGTCAAGCGTATGCAATCTTCTTGCGATAAACCGCAAGTAGTCGTTTTTTTCTTGTCAATAAAAAAAAAGAAAAAAACCTGAAAAGTAAACGTTTACTCAACTTACAATATTAAAAACCAAGGCCTAGGCTAAACGTCAAACTTTTCATCAGACAAACCAAACTTAGTGAGTTAAGTTCATGAAAGTTCGACGTCTGGCTCAGTTAAGTTCGTCTGAATGAATTTGAATCGTCCAACACGTTCTATTCGTCTGCTTCAGACGGACAGAACGTCTGAAGATCATCTTTGGGACAATCGTCGATCTTCTCATACGACGAACTAAACTAATGAATGAATTAAGAACTTGTATTATAGTATATATTTAGCGTCGTTCGGGAAAAAAGTTATTATTAGCTGGCTAAATTTGCTTTTTGGTCTGATTCAGTTGATTGGTTCGACGCGTCCTAAGTTCGACGTCTGATCCAACAGATGATCTTAAATTAATTTAGGTCGACCCAAACTAGAGTTTCGTTCGTCTCACTAAGTTTTCACATTTTGGGTGGTCGCTTACGGGAGGTTCAACTGGAAATACTTCGGGATCTGCTCTCCATTTTGTTAAATCAATTTTGATGCTGGCATTTTCAGATAAAGTGCTGTAAATCGACTTGTGAAGTTGTGGACTGCACGGAACTTTTAATGTGCTCTTCGTGCCTGGGCAGAGCTTTCACCAGCCATTACTCCATGATAAACGCAACCTGGTAAGCTTATAATTCTTATAACTTGGAAACTTAAGACTTGAACTGAAACAAGTCGGGTTTGCCATCTACTTGAATCCCATGCAGGGGCAGCTGATCAGGAGAGAATATTCACGGGCAAATCTTTGCAAAAAAAAAAAAACGTTTACACGAGATTGTTCTAATTATCACGAGGACCCAGCCAGAACTAGCTGCAGAAGGTGGTCAAATCCCTGCTTTTGTTTGGCCAGAAAATATTTTCCGGCCAATAAGATCAAAATGCCCAGGGACGCACTCTGCTAGGGGGCGGTAGGACGGGTTTTAGGGAGGTGAGCGAGAAAAATATGTTTATTGCCTCCCGCCTTCCACGGCTATGAATTAAAGATGGCTGTCCCTACAGTAAGCGCTCGATCTTTATGATCTTACTAAAAACTGGGTACTGTAAACACTCTAAGCAAACAGATACTTGCGGCATAGTGCTGTGGACTTGTATCCCATCCAGGAAGGGTGGTAATATTACTAGAACATAAACCGGAATATGTTCCGGCCATATACGTCTTCTTGTCTCGTAGTGCCTTATTATTTAGCTCCTCCGTGGTCGCGCACAAAACCCACGACGGCGCGCCCAGTCACGCAACTAAAAATAAAGACGGGCTCACAGGAACCTAAACTGTGACGCGCTCAAAGTACAACCAGACTTACGCATATAAATGTGTGCCTTTGGAAGGACGTGGAGCCAGTTGCATAAATTTCAACTTCGGACTTGAAACGCGTTAAAATCGGACATTCAACCCAGTCGAACTCCTTGTTTTACCGCTGGCGTTAGAATTTGCATTAGACGCTACGTCTTATCCAACTTGTCCCTGGCCTGCTTGTTTATTACCGCTTATTATTGAACTTTTGTTAGTTTCAATAAAAGTCTCTTAAGATCTACAGCTTTTGGCTTGTTTGAATATGCATGATTTCTTTCAGTTCTCTGAGTTGTCCTTCATATTTAAATGATACTTTGTCTCCCCTTTGTGCTCTGCTTTCAGGTCCAGGACCGGACTAAAGTTGATTCCAAACGCTTTGGCCTGCGAACAACATTTCCATTGGTAAGAAAATTATCTTTCTTAGCGTTGCGCATTAAAATTCGTTATCCGTTTGTCAGATGCAAGTGTCTCGAATGATTGGTGCTTAAAACGCCGCACCAGCTGTCAAAAACATATAGATAGATAACTCCTTGAGTGATGGGGAATCATGAGAAAGATCTTTATCTATCACTACAGACAACTTCTAACTGCCTTTGTCCTGTGCGTTTAGGCATCGGATGAACTGTGCGAACTCTACCGGAGAAATCCTGGTAACCAGGGAGAAGTTGGAGAAAAGTCGAACACAAGGCGAAGGACTTTTGAGTGAATTTTATTTTTAAATAAAGTCGTTCTTTTATCAAACGCTCTGGACATTCTTGTTTCAATAATTCAACCAGCAGTTTTTTTCATATCGCCATGTTTACCGTGCGGAAAGGGGCCTGGGGCAAGTTTCGAGAAAGTTGGAAGATGTTCACCCCAGATTTTGTTTGTTGCAGCCGAAAGTAGTTTTTGTGTTTTCAGATAAACGCGTTGTACTTTCGAAAACACAACACAGGTTTTTTTGGTTTGTGAAGCTAACAGGCCTTCGTGCAACTGTTCAGATCCACACTCACTTCCCAACGCATAAGCTTAAGCAACCCGCGCAGACTCAATAACTTTTTGATCAGTATGATTACAAAGACACCAGCGAAAAGCATGTTATTGAGATTGCGCTGTTTCTTTCGCTCATGCATACGTTCCCAGAATAAACATCCTTTCATATCCGCGGCGCGTCATGACTGGGCAAGCTATCACTGTCACAATTGTTACTGATAACTAATGTGCATTGTTTAATTTATTGATTAATTTATTATTGAGACTCAATCGTATGTATATTTACATTTTATCATTATGAACTCTTATTCAGTTATTTATTCTATCATTTAGTGATATTGAATATTAGCATTTTAATTTTCTTCACCACTAGTCTTTAGTTTTAAGTATCCAGTCCTTATAAGACTTCGTCGCTGCCATTCTTCATTTAGTCAATCACTAATATGCGTCGTTATTAGATAGTTTTTGTGTATATCTAACGAGAGGTGGATGAACTCAAACAGTACACGTTACTGTGTACTCCGGCAATAAAAAATAACTACTGCTATAACAGTGAATAACAGATATAAACAAGTAATTGAAAAAACACGTTTCTAACGTTAACAGCAAAAGGCCTTTTGTTCACACTGAAAAGGCGTAAACGATAAGAGTAAGCGAATGCTATTGTAAACAGTCTCCTAGGTAGACGAGTTCGCAACAAAGGTAAGATGGTGAAGATGGAATTGCTCGAACAGTTATCACGTAAATATTGGGCAATTTGCTGGCTTATTGTTTGCATCTCAGCTTACTGTCAAAAAACTTCATTTCTCAGCTCACTCATGTGAAACCTCACAGAACTGTTCCACTTTCGTTTTTGTTCGCGTTTTCGCCCAGTTTAGTAGCCAGTCGTTTTAATAATACTTGTTTTTGGCCTCAGTGTTACAACGATCTGATCAGAATTAACAGACTTTAAACTGTTCAACGGAAACAAAATCACAACGTGTAGGAGCACGTTTTCAATGGTGTAACCTCAGTGTATGTAAACAGGCCCCAGGTGTTCAAAAGCTGGATAGTGCTATCCATCGGATTAATCACTTTCCAGTGGATACGCATTAGGGAAACCAATTGCAATTTTCACTGAATAGGGTTTTATCCAATGGATAGCATTGTCCACCTTTTGTACAAATGAGGCCAGATAATTAATTAATCCTATGTAATCCTTATGTAGTACCCACGTACTTTTAACTCAAGAATCTAAAGCAAGACATTGTGAAGAAAATGTTATTGACAGTTATTTTTAAAGCATTTTTTTCTGCATAAAACAAAAGGAAATAAAAGTCTCGGAACGCTTGTGTCTCAAATTCAGTAGCGTCTTTTGCGAAAGTTGTATACTATGTTTTGCTAGAAAAACTTTAATATTGTCTTCTTCACAATTCCCCCTTTTTCTGTAGAGAGATACGTACATAAAACCCTTATCATCTCTTTCAAATATACTCGTATACTTTTTAATAATCAATGATTAGTCTTCACAGCAAACTGTTCTTTTTTCAATTCAGTTAGATTTGAAACAATACTCTCAGGAAATTTCTATCAATGTCATTGGCTGTTTTGAGGCACGCGCAGTCGGGAAGGCCTTGTGTTAACATTAGGCTGGGAAATTTCTCTTACACAGAGGACTGGGAGGACTAGAAATAGACTCCAGCTCTTGGAAATACTCTCGCCCTTTGGTTCATCTACATAGTAGCATAACTGGGCCGCTGTAAAAAGATGAGCGACGTTGATATCGCAACTGTTGCGATGAAAAGTAGCAGGAACAACCGATCTATAACTTTAGCCACTGATTCCCACTCTTCCTTCATTTCATCTTGTTTTTCCTGTTCTTTCGCACGCTCAGTAAGTACGTTGATTCCTTCGAGTAGTTTTTCCTGAGTAGAATTTCCCCTGTGTCGGATGTTATTTTCATGCACAGAATTGATGAAATCTCGGGACGTTAGGACCTTGTCACCCACCTTTGGTGCCACAACTAGTACATCTTTTGCGCCACATTCCATTTCCAGATTATTTCCGTTGTGTTCGGTCAAGATCGGGCTGTACGAATGGTTACTCCGATTGGTCTCCGACGGATTGAATTTTCGTTTTGGCTTCGGCTTTGGCCTTCCAACTAGAAGTAACGGCGCGAAAATATCGATTAGTAATACACGAATCCATCGTGGGACTTCAGAACTTGGTCCTGTAGCCTCGTAGAGGTTCAAAACAAAACAGGTTGCAATCAGAGCCAGTCCTATCTCCACCATAGAAGCCACGAAGAATTTTCCGATTAATGGAGTCACATCGGACGTGGTCGGAGTGTTTTCGGCAATCATCAGCATAAACACAGTCATGGCGAGGAGCGTGGTGATCACCAGGGTTACCCTTTCTCCGGTGTTTGGCGGCAAAACGAAGGTCAAAAGTGCGAAAGCCGTGATAAGAAAACAGGGCACAATCAGATTGTTAAAGTAGAACAGAACTTTTCTTCTGATGTGAAGCGTAAAAATCACGTTTGGGTAAGGTTCAGGGCAGCAGCTAGTGAAAATTAAAAAGATTAAAGGTTAGGTGCTGGATCACGTGAGAAAGAAACGAGAGCAAGCAGGCATTGTATCTGAGAAAGGATACTGGGGGATATTTATAATGAAAGGGGGAGGGGGGAGGGCGGGGGGCGGAGTAGGGTACTAGTGACTGACCCTAAAAGATACAATGGAAACCTTTCTGAAAAGCCTTAGTGACTATCATATTCTTTCGGCCCAAACTTGAAGGACGACACTCTTGTAGTCATTTTTTTAAAAAATAATTATGTATTTTATTAAACAAGAACCTCTTTCGTAGGAACACTCCATAAATTCGACAAGATTGTAATGAAGTCACGAATTCAACTACTGGCCGAGCCAAGCATCAAAATAAATAATTAGCCAACTGTTGGTTTACTTACTGCCATTTGGGTTTCTTAACACCGACACCGGCGAACCATTATGCGGAGAAGATAATTATGTACTTATAAGTTTTTAATATTATTCTCGTTAATAAAAGCTTTTTATGACCCATTATGAGGTTTCTTAGTAGAATTGACCTTACCTATATTTGACAATAGTTCGTTTGACGGGTGCCTCAACCATTTCAAACTCGCCGCTAGCCATGTAAGAAGCCAGGTCGACACCAGTGCTGGCATTTACCAAATCCACTCTGAGTCCATCATACGTCCACGAACCAAAATGGAGATCGCATTTCTGATCATCAAACGGAAAGAACTTGATATCAATGGCACAGCGACTTCGAAGAATGGTGGGAGCAAACCTAAAACAGATATTGAATCAGATTGAGATTCTAAATTCTTATTAATCAGGTTGTATTACATGCACTGTTTACAGGTAGCCATTACAACACTTGAAGGAGGACCATGAGGTTATCCCTATATTAAGATCTCTCCTTACAGATAACCTACCCAGCCCAGGAAAGGTTGGCCACACTACCGGGGTCTACGTCCCCTCCCTCCTACCATTTCTCCTGTTTGAACAAAAATACAAAGGTGGTCTTAACGAGCAGGATCTGACTCATTCCACCCCGATCGGAAAAGGAACTAAACTCGATTACAAGCCGTTGTTGAGGAAAATGACCCCCCACTTATCTTTCTGGGTTCGAGGAGGATCAAAGACCGGACTTCGGAGACCGAAAAGGAAAGGAGCTTAGAAAAGGACTCCGGCAGCAAGAACGATTATACAGGGCCCTCAAACAAGAGGTGTTTCCGTCTCCAAGTCTTCGCAAGTAGCTCCTGGCACTAGAGCTACGGAAAAAACATTTTTATCGCCCCACAACTAAGTAGCATTAACATCCTCTATATCTCTCAGCTCTAAGACATTAACAGAAGAAAGTCGCCAGTCATGAAAAATCAGAGAAAAGCCACAAGCAGGAGTTCTTTTTTCACTTAAGTTGACTATCTAAAGATGCAATTAAAACTCTTTAATTTTTGTTTTTAGAATTATTGCCGCACATCGTAAAATTTTTGTTACTTTCATAGGTGGATTCCCATATTAAACGCTTACCATTGGTTAGTACCATCAGAAGTGAGAATCACTCTGGTCTTGAACTGGTCCATGTTACCGCTTGTTATTCCTGTATTCGCACTGAATATGGTGGAACACAAGTTACTTTATGTCAGAGCTCTTGTTTTCGTAGAGAATCTAGTGTAGCTGATTCCTTGCTCACAAAATCTTTCTAATATCTATATAAATATCTATCTAATTTGTTGCTTATCAGTATCTCTTCCTCTGCCACCGGCCAATGGATATCCGTACTCGATCAACCAATTCTTGCATGGAAATTTGTGGCTGGATACAATATGACTTGTAAGCAATTCGACTCGATTCGAGTAGTCTCCGGCTTATCTTTTACACTCACGGAGTCTAAATCGGCCTTAATGTGGTTGCTTTCGGAAAGCGAAGTGTGTTTGTTGTGCCAGTCAAGTCATAACCAAAGCTGGAGCCTACATCTATGGGCTCCTGCCAAAGCAATGACTCAGACCATTGAGAGCATGCCCACGCAATATAACCCGTGGATAGGTGGACAGGCTAGTGCTGGTACCAAGCTCGGGAACGCGAACGGAGATGAGCACATCTACACCAGGCCCCAGTTGTTCAAAAGGTGGATTACTATACGCTATCCAATGAATATATCTCTATCCAGGGGATAGCGCAGTTGGTTTTTCTAATACCTATCCACTAGCTAGTGATTTATCCTGTGGATGGTGTATTCCAACATTTGAACAATCCTGACCAGTAGTATATGGCGCTCTGGTTAGAACCCTTTTTTGCGCGGGAATATTTTACCGACGATGGCGTTATACTTTATCTCATGAATAAAATGTGGGGGAATATTATTAAGGTCATGTGCTCTTATTTAAGTGGCTTAACCGGTAGGAGGGCGAATTAGCTAAGATATAACCGAACTAAAACCTACCAAACCGGTTAAGCTACAGAACATGGGTGCGTAACCTATGATACTGTCACCGTTGAATTTATCTTTTCAGATCAATTAAGATTTCTGGGAAACTGCCCACCTACCCCTCCCCTAAGTCAACATTAATACTTACCTCTCACCTAGGGCAAAGGCTTGGCTTAGGGGAGGGGTAGGTGGACAGTTTCCCAGAAACCTAAATTGGTCCATTTTATTCTACCCCTTAAGCAAACCTTTGTCTTTCGAAATCGGGAGAAACGAGGGGTCACGAGTAATTTGCAATTGGAGAACTTCCTCGAGGGCTACAATTTTCCTAATTCATTTATGTCCCACAGTTACGTTTTTTCCCCATTCCTTCTCCCCTTCTGTTTTGATTTTCTAGCCTTCTAATCAATTCTTTTTATTCGTTCAATCTCCAAACTTAGAGCCGTTTTTTCACAGGCTAGCGCAGGGTTAGCTAAATAAGGACAGCGCTGAAATGCAGAACAGGTACTTCGTATTCCCTGCTGGATAAAGACTAAAAGTGTATTTTATTATAACTGAGAAATAAGGTTCAAGCCTTTCACAACCAGTAGGTAGACTACATGCTGTTCCCTCTCCAGAAGGGATCTTTGTATTAGTTAACTAGTACTTCGTGCGCAGCATCCGTTGAGAGACGGGGAAATAGCCTAACAGTACAATGCCTATGGTTTTCAGGGTCACGCCATTTAAAACAGATCAGAATAAAAATCAAAACCGTTCAATAGATGAAGTCCAGAATATGGAAAATGAAAGGAGGTAGCTATAGATATACAAAGACCCTCGCCAAGATTCAGTTCAGAGGAATATTTCGTATACGAGATATCCGAAGAAATCACAGGGTCCAGAGGAGATGTGTTTGTCGTTAGAACATCAAAACCCGTCGAAAACCTCTGAAAAAATGGGTTATTTTGATCGTGGTACAGTTTCGTTACACAGTTTTTTAGCCAAGAGACTGAGGGCTCTCGAGATCGGCTTACCGTTTTTTTTACTCGGCACTTCGTGCCTCGGTCGCCCTTCGATAGATAAGAAGCGAAGAAATCGTTTAACAGTAGATTCATAAATTAAAGATCCCATTGGGCTAATTAATCGTGCTAAGCGACAGGTATAGACATTTTTCAAGGTGAGACTTTAAATTAAATAAGTAATTCATTTATTCTCACGTAACTCCTCTGGGCCCTGTGAAGAAATGTTTTACCCAAACTTTATAGAGATTTGTATGGAGACGCCATGCTGGTGCTCACCTGGATGAGCTCCAACATGGCGGACGGAAACCAACAGAAACATCTGTTACCGAGTTTTGCTACAAAAGCGTGAATTTATTATTCGAGAAACTCATAAACATTGAAGTAATTCTTTTTCTTATACATGAACTATTTAGATAGCAAAACTGATTTACTGAAATAAGTCACTTTTTTAACCTACGTGACAGCTCTCTTGGCCGTCATGTAAATTTCGCGTCACGCAAAGGCTTAGAAATTCAAGCGTACTCTATCACAAAACCAACAACCCTTTTGAAGCGAAAATTTATGTGAAACTTAGTTTTCAGCTGCTCTAATGCATCGCGAAAGTAAAATATCGGTAGGATCGATAGTTTTTTAGTTTGAATTTTAGGGACGTCATGTGAAAACCATTAATTGTCGATAGCTGAATGAAGATAATCTTCACTTACTTGTTGTACAGAACTATGTCTGGAAGCCAGATGAGTCTGGGATCCACGTTGATGGACTTTATTCCCCCATAATTAGATGCATTCCAACGTAACAAATGATTGTTCCATTTCTGTCGAATACGTATTTCAGCTTATTTCAAATATATTTACATTGGTTAACTCTTGTGGAGTAGATATGAAAAAAAAATTTAAGCCCAGAGGAACGAAATTTGAACATACGATTTAGTGATTTCATGAATGCGTGTGGCCTTGCTGGCTCATTTCAATCAAAAGACCTTAAAGGAGTTTATTCCTAGTGATATATCCGTGGGCTTTCGTACTCAGGCACCTAGAGTGCGAGCCCTCAGGTGCACCACGCCCGGGCTTTGGTGCTCAGAAAGCAATCTTTAGGAAATTTCTGTCATTAAATAGATTGGAGCTTTTCTGTTTATTATCAGAGAAGGGTGTTGATTTATACTTTGCCTCTTTGATGGATGTTTGAATAGATCGATGAATGAAAGGATAATGTATAGACTGATAAATTAAATACCGCCTGTGGATAGATGGATGACTGCGGACTTGAAAGATTAAACCAACAGTTATTGATTGGTTGGTGAGAGATTGATTTAGATCTTGTTGGTATGATGGAGATTGACTGATTGATGGGTTGATTGTTAGAATCGAAAATGAATCTTTATTAAGCTTTGTACAAAAAATTAGACCCAAATTCTTACTTTCCATATAATTTAAAATTAACTTCTATAGAAAAGTCAGTTATGTACTTACTTGTCTTATCCACACATTACTCACAAGAACCTGATTCTTTTCATCCTGTTTATGAAGAATAAGGCGTAAATTAAAAGATGCGGTTTAGCCGGCGAGCAAGCCCTCCACTTGGGAGAGTCACGAGAATTCACGCGAGAGCCCTGCACGCGGAAGGAGACGCGAGTGCGAGGGATGAGTTGTTTCACGGCTTGCTTCGCTCGCCATTTGCTGTACAAACTGAATGGAAGAAATGGTGCTCAAAATGGTCTCTACGCCGGCTCAGGGGTCTGAGGAAATGGTCTTTACATTTCACCCGGGTCAACAAGCTTCCGGCTAATCGCGAATTGGGCCCCAATTTAAATTGGGCCCAAAGAAAAAGAATACAAGTTTTCGTAAAAGAGCCTATTAAAAGAGACATTAAAAATCTTGAAGGTTGGTAGTTCCTGTGGACAAAAAGAATTAAAACTTAAATGCTTTTTAAGCTTTCAAATCTGAATTCAAATCTCGCACTAACCCTGGGTTATCTTAACCCAGCTTTGAACAACCGGGCCCTGTACTGAAAATAAAGAACTTACCATCAAACGGAAAATTAGACGGGATTGTAGGTACCAAAACTTACTAAAACGTTTCCGTTTCTAACATTTAACACTTCCCACGAGAATTATCAGGACAAATGTTGTAAGTAGACCTATCTTTGGCTTTAGCCGTTTCGTTTTCCTTGTGAGATTTCATTTGACATATTTTATTGAAACTGAAGGAGTAGAAGAATGCATATTGTCCGAAGAAGGCATATTTCCGCATTGGTTCTACCTGGTGAAATTATTTTGTTGACTTGTTTCAGACAGTTGCACCAGGTGGACAACACATGAGTATGTTTTGTCAATGATTTTATCGCCAGTGTGATTTGCTACTTAACCAAAGTAAGCAACTTTACCAACAAAGTCCTGCGGGTATGGTAATACAAGTTATTACAGGTTAGGAGGGGTTTTAACTGTTATTCAGTATACCCTTCACGGTTACATTTGATGAAAATCAGTTGACGCTGCTGAAAAAATTGCTTTAACTTTAGTAGACTTGCCACGTTTAAAAAGGTCTAAAGCGAGCGAAGAAACAGTTCCCTTAAGTCGCGAAATTTTACTGACGTTTGTATCGTGGGGTGCACGAACTTGCCTCCCACCATACAAACGTCTGTAAAATTGGGCGACAACAACTGATTGCTTTCAAACTTGGCTTCAAACTTGACTTCAACTTCAAACTTGAACACAAACAGTTTTGAATGTGCTTACCAGTTCAACAAGTTGCGTGTAAGCAATTCCAAATATCACTTTGATTGCAGCCTTTTTGTTCTTTACTGGCCTGACCTCCTTGCTGTAGTTATTAAATAGGTCTTTTACTAGTCTTAGTTCATCATCGTCACTTTTTTTGACTGCATCTAGGATAAAAACGAAACTACTTAGTTTTTACACTTAGGTAAATGTTTTTAATTGAAATTACGATTATTAAAGGATAGAAGAACTGTAATGATATTCTACAACATAACATAGATTTTATTAGCTCAAAAATTGGTAATTTCTCGGAGATACAAGACAAATATATAGAGTCCGTTAGAACTATGCTGCAAGTGAATGACTGGTCTGGCGATTTGGCTCAAAACGTGGCCATTTTCGCAAAGGTGCTTAAGCCATGATTCTAATCATGGTGCTACATTCATGGACTTTTGTTACGTGTCCAGAAAATCTACTTTCATAAAATTTCTTTTGAAGAGTTTGTATGCTGTCGTGTTTTAACATTGGGATGAGGGGAACTCCGCGACATGCACGCTTAGCCTTAACAACCGTGATTCACTCCAAGCAATTGCGCGGCAATAAATGGGATTCTCTATGTTTTGGAAAGTTCTTGAAATAATTTTTATGTATGGAAACCTTTGATGCTGCTTTCAGATTTCCTTTAAAAAAAAAGCCATCCGAAGGACGACATAATGACGTAAATTCGAACATTTTTAGCTCTTAAGCCATTTGAATGACATGCTTACGTCAGCATCCACGCGTCAGACGTCACTTTTATCGCCTTCCAAACGCTTGTTTTAGTGAGAATTTCATTGACCATGAGGTGAACCAAAGATAAAGATCTAAAAAATGATAAATGTTTAACTGGTTGGCAAAAAATGTTTCATTTTGGCCTGAATTTGAAATTAATTGTTGGCTTTAAAATTGATGAGACCCTCGTAAAATCGTTTTAGCAAATGACGCCATCAAATCCATATCTGTTCTTCTAAACAAGGAACTATTTAATTGCATGAAAGTCCAAGATTATCGAACTTGGAACAGTAGAAATATACTCTTAATTTAAGAAATTTTTTTTTTGTGCTTAATTTCCTTCTTTTCACCTCTGGTCCTGAAACATCTGCCGCATTCAGATATCGTTTTTCACAGACTGGCGCAGGTTTCTTTACCAAAGTAGTGCATTATATAGGATAGTTCTATTGTCTTTTAAAAACCACGATGTGCGCAAATTAGAGTTGAACATTCAGTGACCAATTTTTGACTACTGAGACAATATTGTCGTTAAGTTTTAATCCCTGTCGATTTACAGGCAGGGGTTTCAAATTTTAGTTTCATATTTTAGCAAGAATATGAAAAGAAATCTAATGCCAGTGAATAGAAATTATATTGATTTGCATTTTATCAAAAAACTAGCAAGAAAAATAAAAATAAACATGTTCAAGACGTTGTGAAGTCTCATTATGTTTGTTGTGATAAAACAAATATTGAAAAACAGCAATAGTCCGATCTATTTAATGTATAGTGATAGTAATTCTTCCTTTGGGTGGTTTCAACAACGCTAAACAATGAAACGTTTTGAAAACGATGAGTTATCCCCGTTTTTAGAACACTAAGCTATCTTGAGTCTGAATGTGCACTAAGAGAAATTTCCAAGTTGTTCTTCGTGTGTGATTAAATTTGCTACAAAAATACACTGAAGCTTTAAATGCTGGATTAAAACATAACAATAAAACTGAATAAATTTGCGGTAGCAACATATCAAAACACTCGTAAATTTACGCCTTTTTTGTAAACTTAATTTTTACCCAAGATAAGCTGAAATAAAATTGGCGCTTTGGTCAGTCTCTTGCGATTTAACGAAAAAAGGCAAGCTTAGTTATCTAGAAGATCTGCGATTCTTATGTTGCCTGGTAAAAATTATGAAAATGGGGATGTAATTGAAAGACCTCAAACTTGGTCATAACAAGAAAATATTATTAACAGGAAAATTTTAAAAGCAATAAATTCGTGGAAAGTATACCTAACTGTGACAACAAAGGCTAAGATGGCAATATTTACGTAAAGATAGAAATTTATACCTAGAATAATTGTCAAGCAACGCCAAATCAGCAGTTCTGGTGTATCACATTTTTTTTGTCAAAGTTTTCAGTTTTTGAGAAAAAAAAATTGTTGAAAATGCTCCTCACCTGTTGTCGTTGTGAAATTAATTACAGCAAAGTTGCACAACAAGAGAAATCGCCAATACCGATACATTTAGATCCTTCTGCAAAGTTTTTTCTTTACGAATTGTTTATGTTTGCTTGAAATATTGCAGAGTATTCAGCTCGCGTATGTTAGCTTCATAATAGAGTGTTGAGTCGCTTTCTCAAGAAGCCTAATTCGTTGCTCGGCAGTGACAGATGATATTCCCACTAAGTTCTTCTTTGATCGTGGCAGGAGTCGAAAGAAACATAATGGATAAACCGCGGGGGTTAATCCAGTGACGTCATAGAGTAATAATAATGGCGGTGTGTGAGTATAAAGAGAAGAATTTATGGTTTTATAAATTTAACTCGTGAATCGTCTCATACGGTTGTGCTGTAAGTAAAAAGGTTCCCGTAAAATTATAAAAAAATTTGGTCCCACTTACTTTTTGGGGACGAAACGCTCAACACAAGCATAAAGTAATAAAATATTAAAAAGGTTATATTTTAGTTGTGTGGTTGAAAGCCTTGTCGACGTCAATTCGATGTCAAAACTGAAGATTTTTTAGACCTATGATTTTGATGGATTGAAACAAAATGAAGACAAGGGTAATTATGATATAAAACTAACATTTTGCGTTTGTTTTTTCTCAAGTTATTCAATCTTAAGTCACAATGACCAAGCTCATTGATGAAATGTTTGCTATTCTTATAGAAAGAGGTGTTTACAGAAGGAAGACTGGGAGACAAAACACTGCTTCTCCAGGTATGTTAGGAATAGTTATCTCCCGTTTCATAAAAGAAATTACCTCAGTTTTATTGTCTCGAGCAAGGTTTGCTTGTCAAACCTCAGCACTAATATTTTAAAAGTGCTCATCGAATGGAATACCTTCTTCTCTGCATTTCTGTCCAAATGCGAGATCATGTTAGGTTCAAAGTAATGCCTATTTATTCAGTGTCAAACTGAATTTATTGACTATATTCTATGTTGTAGTAATAGTTTAAATGTTTGAAAAAGGCTTCTTCTTCACTTCTCAGATTTAGACATTAATCGGTTTCGACTTTCTATCGACTTTGTGAATATATCTTGGTTTTAAAAATTAGACAACTGATAAGGTAGGTATTATTTGGAAATAGGACCAGGTTTTAGGACTCAATATTCAAATTTAGTTCTAGTTTCATATTAGCGGAGCTCCACGCGCGCGCGCGAGCGGTGCCCCATAGCTAAGAAAATCTATCCATCCTAGAAAATTTGGTAATCAGATGACCGTACACCGACCGCCGACCGCCGGCTGCACCACAGGGAAACCAATATTAAATCTCACATTTTCTTGTTGCAGTTAGTAGTTTGGGAGCCCAGGTGCAACCTGATATTGCACATCCACGTTGTCTGCGTTAACTGAGGTAGTCCAGTGGATAGAGGCGTTAACTTTTAGTTGTAATTGATTCTGAGGGTCCGGATTCGAATCCCCTTAAAGGAAATTTTTCCTAAGCTTATTATTTTTCCTTTTTTAAAATGTCTTTTTTACTCTCTTTTTTTACCTGTGTGGTGCATATGGCTAGGAACATAATGTGGTAATTTGAAAGCAAAGTTTAGAGGAAAATAAAAATTGCAGTATGTATCATAGCGTATCTACTGGCGATTTTAGTAATACTGGACACTGTTATCATTACCCAGCTCAATCTTCGATTTTCACATTTACCTAATTTAATTCGAGAGGTAACTACTTTGAGATGGGACGTCTGAGGCTAAAGAAAAATTTTTAGACTGGAAATATTTTCAACAAACGGAGCTAAAGTCGACATCATCTTATCGACGTCTAAATCAACTGCCGTATTTAATTACTTTCATGGACTAAACTAGTTGTTCGGCACTCATAAGAAATTCCTCGTTTGAAAGGGGCCTAACATGACATAAGTGTCAGCTTAGTGGTTTGCAGCTGTTATTAAGTTGCTGTTTTCTTTTCAGTAAGAACAGTTCTTATCTCCCTTTGTAAATCTATTTTATAGATCGGCTTGTGCCGCGACTTAAGAATCAGCTGTAATAGTTGATTTTACTTTCTCTTTGACATAATTTGTATATCAAAAAGAGCGATCAATTTTCAATTCATCCATCCATTTCAATAAAAGCAAATGGAATCACTTCTTACTACAGCGGACAACCTCGAGCCGTGAATTCGTCGTATGAATACGCGGCACCGAAGAAAGACGAAAAGCTAAGTGAAACCCTTTGACCAAATTATTTTAAGGTTTAAACTCGAAGCTTTATATATATTAGTGTAAAATAATTATGAATTACTTTTACCTGTATGGAAGAGCTACAAAAGGGGTCTAATGTAAAAAATACCAAAGCTGACAAGAACAAGAAGAAATTTGGCATAAAAAATCAAGATAACACGGCCAAAACAAAAGAGTCTCTAAAACAAGAAGTCCAGGCCAAAGCACAGAGACTAAGGCAATACACAAAAAGGGCGAACTTCTTCCGGCAAAACAAGACCTTCAGGGACAATGCCAAAAAGCTCTACAGAGAGCTGGAAAAGAAAGCCATCACTACCCAGAACCCTCCCTCACTCGTAGAGGTCGAGAATTTCTGGAGCAAAATATGGGAGAACAGCAAGACCCATAATGATGCTGCTTACTGGATCCAAGACCGAGCCAAAGAAAACCAGCATGTCCCAACTGAGGAATGGTCCATCCACCAGACCAGTAATTGGAAAGCCACAGGATGCGACGGCGTGGCTAACTTCTGGCTCAAACAACTGATCAGCTTACACCATCAATTTACCAATGCATACAACAATATCCTCAAGAACCCAGAACAGTCCCCAGAGTGGCTGACCGAGGGTGTGACTTTCCTGATACCAAACTTCGAAGACACAGGGAACCCTAAAAACTACAGGCTTATCACATGCTTACCAACTATGTACAAGGCCCTGACCTCCATCATTACAGAAGGAGCCTACATATTTGTCGAAAGTAACAACCTGCTCCCCAAAGTGCAAAAAGGAGCAGGAGCTATGGCTGCAAAGACCAGCTCCTCATCAACAAAGCCATCCTTGAGAAGGTGAGATCCAAGAGCCGTAATCTCTCCACGACCTAGATTGACTACAAGAAGGCCTTCGATAGGGTGCCCCACATCTGGATCGTCAAGAACCTCGAACTCTACAAGATCTGCCCCACTATGACCCGCTTCATGCGGGAAAACACGAAGTCGTGGAAGACGATCCTCCGCCTAAACCACGATAAGGGCATGATGACATCCAGACCTATCAAAATCAAAAGTGGCATCTATCAGGGAGACTCTCTGTCACCTCTACTCTTTTGTCTTGCTCTTGCTCCTCTAAGCTCCCTCCTGAACTAGTGTGGCTATGGGTATAACACCTCCCACGGAAAGATCAGCCACCTCTTCTACATGGATGACCTGAAGCCCTACGACGAACAAACGGGCCTGTTGAGACCATCAAATCTTTCAGTGACGACATAGGCATGGAGTTCGTTTGGACAAGTGCGCCAAGGCCACCTTCAAGAAAGGGCGACTAGCCGACTCCGGTAATATCGAGCTCGACGTCAACACCATCATCCAGGACTTAGAACAGGAAGGTACATATAAGTATCTCGGAGTCAGCAAGGGAGACGGAGTCCAGCACTCTCAGATGAAAGAGAAGATCCGGAAAGAGTGCTACTGCAGGATGCGGATGGTACTCAAGTCTGAGCTGAACTCCGCAAACAAACTGGAAGCCATCAACACCTCGGCAGTACCAGTGGTGACTTACAGTTTTAACATCATAAACTGGACGTTACAAGAGCTGGCCAAACTTGATACAAAGACTAGGAAGTTCCTGACCACGCACTAGATACACCACCCAAAATCTAACGTGGACAGGTTGTACCTTCCCAGAACTGAAGGTGGTAGAGGGCTCGTACAACTGGAGCTTTCCTGCAAGTAAACCACTATCGGTCTTGATAAATGCCTCCAGGAGACGCAGGACACCCTCCTCCACTTTGTCAAAGACCATGACGACAGGAAATCCTTGTACTCATCAGCAGATAGTCAATGAAGTTCAGTCGGGAACTGGGAGTGCCTGCTATACCACCTGCAGAGGATGAGGAGAACACCTCCTATGCCTGCAGAACAAAGGCTATGGCCAAACACCAGGGTCGCCAACAGTTTAGGTCCAAGAGGGAATCAAAAGCGCTCCACGGCGAATACCCACAACGGGTGAAACAGGCTGACGTGGACCAAGACAAGACCCACAGATGGCTTAAAGCAGCTGGCCTTAAGGCAGAAACCGAGGGCTTTATCATCGCAGCTCAAGATCAAAGCCTCGCAACAAGCTGCTGGTACCAACACAACATCCTTAAGAAGCCTGACGTAGACCCAAAATGTAGACTATGTGGCCATTTCGACTAGACCATTGACCAACTGGTCTCTGGCTGCCCTGAACTGGCTAAAAATGAATACATCCACCGCTTCAACAAAGCAGCTGCACACATGCACTGGAAGATCTGCAAAGAATTTGTCATTGAGGTGAAGGAACGATGATATGAGCATGAACCCAAGACTGTCACCGAGAATGACAGCGTCACTATTCTGTGAGACATGCCCATCCACAGTGACAGGACCATAGCAGCTAATAGGACGGACGTTGTGCTAAAGAGCAAGAAGGATAAAGCCTGCCTTGTCACTGACATGACTATATACCCCACGACACCAATGGTACTTGGTACCATCAAGAAGGACATAGAAAACTACTCCAGCAAAATCCCTGGCAACATCAACATACATGAACTCTAGAAAATAACTCTCCTTTCTACAGCCCACCTTCTCAAGCGGGTCTTCTCCATCAAGTAGAAACCCTCTTTGCCTCCCAAAGTCCATAGTTAAGACTCGGATGTTGAGAGAGAAAATCAATCCCCATTACACTGGTATATCTTATATAATAATAATAATAATAATAATAATAATAATAATAATAATAATAATAATAATAATAATATTTTTTTTTTAATAATAATGAAATTTTATTAAACTCTTCTCAAATTTAAAAATTAAGTACAAATTTAGTATAACTATAGCTAAAAAAAGACTTCTTGGTGGTCTGGTGGTTTTCAATAGAGCAAATATAAACAACTGTCTATAAACTAAAAAAAAAGAAAATTTCTATGTTCATCCCAATGATAAATATAATAATTATTAAATTTTACTATTTACAGATTCAATAATAATAATAATAATAATAATAATAATAATAATAATAATAACAATAACAATAACAATAAATAGAGACCGACAGCAACTTTGCACTTGTGCACTTGCATCAAATTGCACATTGCTTTTCATCTACCGACCTCTGCACAAAACATCACATGCTACAACTAGAAATGCTTAAATTTTTAGCTTATTTAAGAAAATAATAGCACCCTAGTAAATTTCATTTACCTGTCTATCTGAGCTCCTACGTGGTTCCCCGTCAATTTTGCTCTAGCACGATGTATTAACATGAAAAAAATTAAGGGTTGGGAGAATCGCGTCAAAGCTTGAAAGATGTGAAGTTACCTCTTGAAATGTTTTCATGACATGACATATACGGAAAAATGGATCTTACGCAGAAAAGACTATTTAAATTCACTGGGCGTTATTTTAAGCAAAGAAAAATGTATGGTACTAAACAGAAATTTTACATTTGTAGAGCAAATATTGTATGAAATACCATGATACTTTAATGTATATGCAAAAACTAATCGTAGTACCAAACAACACTTTCACAATTGATGTGCTGACTAGTGGTTTTCTCTTTGTTTCGAGAACTACAACCATGACTGAGTATGTTTTACATACTTTGTTAAACGAGTTATAAAGATCTTTTCATACGTACGGAACCGTTAACTTTCAGTAAACTCTTGGCTAAAAACAACGTTATTGTTCTCACAGATCTTTAATAAGTATGTCAGGTGTTTTGACTTGAACAGATTGACTCTATATTTATGCAATTTTTCCATTTTTGTTGAGACAAAGTTGATAGCGATGATAGGTCAACTATCTTAATTTCCTTATCCCATGGAAATCTGTTATGAAAAACTCTCACGCAACCTTCTTCGCGTAGTCAAATATAACAGCCTATACAGCACTATATAAACTCCGTCCACATGACCTTATTGCTACCGTGCTGCGTTACTAGTAACAATTTAATAGCGAGTTGAAACTTAAGGGGAACTGGTAATTAGCCATGAAAATCAGTATTGCCGTATTAAAATACCTCCCGGTGACAGACTTCAACCAAACAGTGTGCCACACAAAGAAGATACACCAACCGCAAACCCAACCTGCACGCACAGTCACACGCAAAATGCGTTTACCAAAATTTCAGTTAGACCGAACTCAGACAATTTCATAAGATACTGAAACCACACAGAGAACAGCTACTAAAGAGTAGGTGACTCGGCATTATATATGCTCATACTGGCGAAGTCGACCCTGAGTGTAGCTATTGTAGTAACCAATTGTAACCTGACAATAAAATGCAACACAAGCCTTTAACCAATCAGATGCATGCTAACCCTAGCCCCTAACCCCATCCCTTACTGAATTTCTCGGAGATGTTGGCAGGAATCTCTTCCAGTTTGGGTAGAAAGAATTAGAGGTTAGAAAATTATCCAAGCAAATTACATACAGAAAACACACTAATCATGCCAGATTCCTGATAAAGTTGTTTTGAGGTAAACAGCTTGACTTTAAATAAGTTATCAAAAAATCCACTTTGTGGCTTATGCTGTTTGTATAAATGTTTTTTTCTTGGCTAAAACAAGTCATTCTGAACAAATATCCTCCTCCCGAGCCGTTTTGAACTCTAATATTTTGCGGTTTCGGAAAGAGAGGATTCCGTATGTAGTAGTTTAAATATATAATCATATATAATCATTGCAATAATAAACATCATGTATGAACGACTTGCAAAACCTCTGCCTCATTACAGAAATTCGGTGAATTCAATGGCTATCTTAAATCAGCGATAAGCGTTTAATTCTCTTAAGACAATTTAACTTTTTAGTGAAGAGATTTTGTTGTCAACAGTATATACTCTGATAACATGAAATTTGTCTCATGAAATTATTTACCTTTCAATCATGCGCCATGCATTCAAACGTTTTATATTATCTAAACTATATAGGATACTGTATAACTTCGTCTCTATTTTTTCTCATAGGAAAGTGACATGTTATTAAACATTCATTAGGCCGCTTAAACGACAGCTTATCTTAAAAGCATAAATTAAAACTTCTAAAGGTCTGCTTTTCTGACTTGGAGTTTTGAAAGTAAGCATAAATGAAACAAAACTATTTCAACAGAACGCAAACAAATTCAAGTGCATAATAGTGTTAAATAGAATGTCGTACCCGCCAATGTAAAGTTGTCGGTATCCTTGGTGGGGTCTGCTAGCAACTCCTGTGGTTGTTCCGTAGTCGATGCTTTGGTAGAGTTAATATCATCAAATAGCTCATCGGTGGTCGGCTCTACACCGGCTCCTTTTCCTTGTAGAGCGAGCCAGGTTATAGCAAGGAGGAAATGGAAGGTATAGACGCCGTGAAACACACGACAATTTGCCAGTATCATTTTGTATCATGTATGCAGCCCTCACAGTTGGCTTTGCAGTGGCAAATATGAAAGACTGTCTCACAATACAAAGACCGCAAGGGGAATCGGAAAGATAACACCTGTTCACTGGTAAACGCACCGAACGAAATTGCTTTCAGCTAGTCGAGAGTTCACAGGTTTTGTAATTTTGGTCCGATAAGGATACATTCCCAGCCAATGAAAAGGTTCCTTTTTATTGATGGGTTAATGTTATTATTTATTACGATAACCATGCGGATAGCACTCGCCAAAAGACAACCAAAACCCGTAAGGGACAAAAGTAAACAAAACAACACGTAAAAGAAAATTCGTCTGCCAGAAGCAAGCCAGGCAATACAGTGATTAGACCAAGTATAATTTTTCTGCTATCGAATAATTAATAACTTGTTTTAATGATGATTGATTGTGAATTACAGCAATTTTTCTTTGCTTATGAAAAGCAGTAAGTTCGAACAGTCCAGAACACATGTTTGCATGTAAATTAGTAGTTAAACCCCAGGAAACCCCTGCCACAAAATAGTGTTTTTAGAAGCAAGAGAATTTACTGCGACGGAAACCCCGACGAGTCAACATTTGTGATTATTTCTTGTTATGTTTTACCTTTGCTTTTCTTTCGGCTAATAGTTTAATTGTCTACTAAGATCAGTCTTGATGTTTGTTGTCTATGACGTGTAGTATTTGAAGTTGTGAAGCAGAATGGTACATTTTAGAAGACTGCAAAAACATACCAGTATGTATGACAAAGGTCGTATTTTTAAATGAGTTGGGTTGCGTATAAACGGAAATATTTTCGTCTCCTCGAAAACAGCATTTCAGCCGTGCTGTAGCTAGTTGATTCAAGTTAGTTGCAATCTGAATCAAGCAGCTTCCATGAAAATATTTGGACCCCAACAACAACGCATATTTCTTTGGTTAAGTCGCTGCGAATTTGAAAACGCACCAGATGATTGCTAAGTTCTATTTTAGCGTTTGCGCTCTGGGAAAGGGCTAAACTCAAACGCATTTTGAATTAATCCTTTTCACAATGGATATTATGTTTGATTTGCCAATCATAAAATGTTACATTCCCTTCCGATTCCCCTTCAGTGTGAGATACTCTATTCACGGCGTCTATGAGACATTGTACAAAGGCAAAGCAAAGACAAGCAAAGAAATAGTTTTAAAGTAAAAAATGAAATGCGGATAGAATAGGGTTACCTGCATGTAAAACCAAGATTACCGCGACACATGCAAGAATATACCAGCCCGCCATTTTCTTTCCGGACGTAGGTGTATTCTTCAAGGGCCTCAATCACCTGTTTTTAAAGATAGCAATTAATATTTAACGAAGTGTGTGGTGCGATCTTGACAAATTTCACTAAGCCTTCTATTTTCTTTAATTTGAATACATTGTGAACAAGGGGCTAAGTCTGAACTCGCGTTTAATAACAAGTCAGGAAAGTCGAGTCGCTTATTGTTAGCTTAGCAGCCTTTGTTAGTGAACCATAGGGTTCAAGCAACGTACTTTAAGCATCTTGGTTTAATTTCAGGCGAAATCGCTTCTGCACGTTGTTAACGACTAATAACAGAGTTCTTTGTTCATAGCCGTTGAATTAAAAACTTGAATTGTATGCAATTTTTATTGTTAGGCCACTGTCTCCGGGGAGAATTAATTGCAGAGCGGGCTCTGTTTTTTTCTTGTGTTTGATTAGCGCAGAGTTGAAAGTATAGCTTAAATGCAAATCGTCTTTGTCAAGCTGCCTGATTGGTTTCATACGTACACTGATTTCAACAAGAACGAAAACTTCTCTGAGATTAAATATTGTCTCAACCATTTTCTTTTTGCCAGGAGCAGGAAATTAAAATACTTCTAACAATTACATTGTATCACTTCTTTTAATTATTTTTTTTTTCAGGCGGAAATATTCAAC